ACCCCCCCGAGGGGTCCCAGATTGGAGGGGGTGCAGGCTGGGCTGAGGGACCCCCCCCACACACACACACACACCATGCATGAATTTTGTGCATCGGGCCTCTAGTTTCTTATAATTTCCACATTAACCTCATCGATACAAAGACTGGGGCTTCAGAAACTTAGAAGCAGAATTAGGACTTGATGCCAGGGTTTCTGACTCCTGTCTTCCATATGCAATATTCCAACAACCGCCTTCTCCAAGTCATGCCAGAGCTGGCACAGTGCTTTGGGCACAGTCTGTCTACTTTGCTCCAATACTGCTCATAAAATCCCTGATAGGCACTGTGTCATAATCACTGCCAAACTGACATTGTTTTAAAACACAGATCTGATCACATCACTGTCAGCTCCAAATCCTTCAGTGGCTTCCTTCCTATAATGAAAATGTTCAAATTACTTAACCTGGCGCTGAAGACCTCCTACAGTTTGATTTCAACAGTTTTGGAACATCGCTTCCCACAACACTCTACTCCAGCCAAAGTGCACTGTCCTCACTCAGTTGTTTCTCAAACATTTGCCTGCATTCCTCTGCTCTGCCTTTGAAAATGCCATCTGTGCTTTCTTTCTTTCATTAATTAATTCCAAAACATTAATATATCAAAAGTGTGTTGGGAACTGGGCTAGATCTGGGGAAAATCAGTGAATACAGACAGAAAGGATCCATTTCTCAAAGAGCTTGGGATCTACTGGATTCTTAACGTTTAGGAGAAAATGCCACACTCTGCAAAATAAGCCTTCCCTGATACTCCCTGTAGAAAAGTGATAACTTCCTTCTCTCGACAACCACAGCAGAGTGAGGAACCTCTATTGTAGATGTCATCAGAACATGATTGAATTATAGTTATTGAGTCACATGTCTTCTCTCTCACCCTAGGTTGTAATCTCCATTTTTGGTAGAGACTCTAAATATTACAATATTTAGTCCTCACGGTACTATGTACTGTAACTCTCATATAATAAGACCTCAATAAATAATATTGAAATAAACAATTTCTCTCAGAGTTTGTGAATATGAGATTGGGGCAAGAGAGAGCAGCATGTTCTTCTCCCCCACCCCCATTCACACACAGAAAGTGGAGAACAAAGGGAACACATACTACTCTCTCTCTCTCTCTCTCTCTCTCCTCTCACACACACACACACACACACACACACACACACACACACACACACACCAGATGGTTAACATAACATTATTTTAGGCAACAGAACTCTCAGCTTATATCCAGGGTCCCCTGATACTTGCCTCCGTCCATTTAAAGAGAGTTTCAAGGTCAAAACTAACCCAAGATCTCTGGCCATCAGAGTACAAATCTGTTCAATTTGCACATTTTTCTGTGTCAATAAACGGAATAGAATTAGCATCTTCTCCATATGGCCTGCTTTCCTGACCCCAGAACCAGGAGGATGCTAAATTCTGGACCATGAATCTAGGCTAGGTTGAATTTTCTTTTTTAAGAAAATTTATGAACAGTTATATTTACTCTTTTTGGTATACAGTTGTATGAGTTTTGACAAATGCATAGTTGTAGAACCACAATCAAGATCACAGAACAGTCCAATCACCCCCCAAAGAAATTCCCTTTGACTATTTTTTTGCAGTCATACTCTCAACCAGTCATCTGCTTTCCACCTCTAGTTTTGCTTTTTCCGGATGGTCCTATAAATATACAAGTACACAGTTGTTTTAGCCTGGCTTCTTTATTTAGTATAATGTATATGAGAGTCATCTGTGTTTTTGTATGTATCAATAGTATATTCCTTTTTCTAGCTGGGTAGTATTTCATGCATAAATGTGCCATTGTTTATTCATTTCCTATTTGAGGAACATCTGGAGTATGTCCTGTTTTGGGCGTTTATGATTAAAGCTGCTATACATAGGTTTTTGTGTTACCATAGGTTTCTATTTTATTCAGGCAAACAGAAGTGGAATTGCCAGGATACATGGTAAGTGAATTTTTAACTTTATAAGAAACTATCAAAATATTTTCCATAATGGCTATTCCATTTTGTATCCCCACTAAGAACATATGAGAGCTCCAGTTGCTTCACATCCTTGCCAACACTTGGTATTGTCAGTTTTTTTAAAACTATTATTTTTTTTTTTTTTGGTCTTTGACATTCTAGATATGCAGTGTGGGATGGAATTTTAAAACTTTATCTTTTTAGAACCACGATATTTCCATTTCAATATTAAGCCCACTCAACACTTCCTCCTCCTGTTTTTTTTTCCCACTTGGATCTTTGTATTATCTTTCCCACTAGATTACAGTCATTCGTGTATAAGGAAAAAAAATCTTTGCCATCTTTGTATGTATATGATGCATTGCTATCCCACCCCAGTGCAGGAATTTGTAACAGGCAAATAACACATGCTACTGGAATAAATGCTTCTGCCCTTGACACTAATGCATCCAAAATGTAACAGAGCATTGCCTAGTTGTATCAATTGTTGCATATCAAAGGAATTTTAATAAAACTATGTACTTTCCTCATTTTCAGGGATATTTCCATTTTTATTCGCCTTTGTGGCTATTTATCTAAGTTGTAGATTTTGCTATTCTTGCTTTACCAAGGAGTAAATTATAAAAATATGGTTTGGATGTTGAAAAATTTGAGTACCAGATTTCTTGTGCTTATATGAAAGATAATATGTTTTCTTATTAGTACTTGAGTAAGAGATTATAACTTACTTATTTTACAAATTAGAATACTAACTTGTATTTTTTATTGAGCTATAATTAACATATAATATTTATTAGTTTCAGGTATACAGCATAATGATTTATTTGATAGTTATGATATACTGCAAAATGATCTCAACAGTAAGTCCAATTAACATTTGTAACCACACAGAGTTACACATTATTTTTATATCATGAGGACTTTTAAGATCTACTTTCTTAGAAACTTTCAAATATGCAATAGAATATTATTAACTATAGTCACCATGCTGTACATTACACTTCCAGGACTTATTTTATATTTGGAAGTTTATATAAACCCTCTTCTCCCATTTTGCACCCCAAACATTCTGGTAATCACCAATCTGGTTCCCTATATCTATGAGCTCTTTCTTTCTTTTCTTTCTTTCTTTCTTTTTTTTTTACATTCCACATATAAGTGAGATCATGCAGTGTTGTCTTTCTTTATCTGACTTATTTCTCTCTGCACAATGCCCTCAAGGTCTATTCCTGTTGTCACAAATGGCAAGACTTCCTTCTTTTTTGTGGCTGAATAATATTCCAATATAGAGATCACATTTTATTTATTAATTCATACATTGATAGGTACTTAGGATGCTTCCATGTCTTGGCTATTGTAAATCATGCTGTAGTAAATATGGGAAGGCAGGTATCTTTTTGAGTTAGTATTTTTGTGTCCTTCAGATTAATGCCCAGAAATAGACTTATTGAATCATCTAGTAGTTCTATTAAGTTTTTTTTGAAGAACGTCCATATTATTTCCATAGTAGATGCACCAATTTATATTTACAACAACCAGGGTACCCTTCACATCCTTGTCAACACTTGTTAGCTCTCATTTTTTTTATAATAGCTATTCTAATAGGCTTGAAATGATATCTCATTGTGGTTTTGATTTGCATTTCTCTTATGACTAGTGCAATTGAACACATTTTCATGTACCTTCTGGCTACCTGAATGTCTTTTTTGGAAAAATGTCTATTCAGTTCTTCTGACCAGTTTTAAAATTGAATTGTTTGTTTTTTGCCACTCACCTGCATTTCAATATGCTATTTAGGTAAGAGACAAAATGTTGGAATTACAGAGAGACCCTCCTGTAAACATCATTTATCAAGTGAGCTGGGGCAAAAAAAAAAAAAAAAGAGGTTGAGAGTCACTGATAAAGACTCAGAGAATAAATGAAAGGAGTTTTAGAAGCTCTGTCGGCCAACTTCCCAGTCATTGCAGGACTTCTGGTTACAACAGCTGGTTGAATGCTTCCACCCCTGGAAGCTCACCAATTCATACAGGACCGCCGCATACATCCTTATAAGCAAGAGTCTCAAAACAAAATAAATAAACAAAAGAAACATGGGAAGGTAGCTGCTTTCTAACTGAGCTTTTGCTTTTCTCTAACATTGTATGAACCTTCAGTAGCACCTACAGAAATCTAAAAATGGAGTTTGGAATCTATTTTGGCAGAAAATATGTTCATCGTTACACCACCAATCCCTGTGCTGAGTTAATCTCATTAATTTTTATAACGCAAGATGATATATATTTTGAAGAGATGAGCTCAGTGGCTTAAATGACATGAATCTTGGAACTTTCAAAAATAGATATTCCTTCTGAAATTTTAGTTCTTAAATGGAAGTGAACCGACAACTTAAAGTTGTGTACAGGAGAAAATCTGTTTAAATCTATAGAAGAAAACGTCTTAAACATAACCAATAGGCAGACTGGATTCTGAGTCCTGTGGCAGAAAGGAATCTTGCAGAATTCTAAAACAAGGGACTTTCTGACCGTAGACATTTCTCTTTCTATTGGCTAGTTTCTGTGGTGATTTTGTGCTAGGTGTCAATTTAGCTCAGGGGGAAACCCATTCCCAGAAGTCCCTTCCTTAGATGGTTCTTCATTAGAGTTTGCCACCAGGGAAATTTGTGTGAGATGTGGAAGGCATGGGAAGGAACCACGTTACTAGGCTCAGAGGGGTAGTGTGGTGCAACAGGTGCTGTGTGCTGATCTCCCAGCTCACCTTGGTGATGTCAGATGGCAGTCAGGCTATGGTCCTTTGCCTCCCACCAGATCCCCATCTCCAGCTTCTGGTCGGTGCATGAATAGTGTTCCAGTGAATAGTGCCAGCTCCTTCTATGGTTCTCCCAGGCCACTGGGGTTGGAGGAGGTAGAAGTCCAACACAGGCTCTGGTTTGTCTTGCAGGTTCCGGTTAGTTCCTGCTCAGCTCCATTTCACATTCAGCATTTCTTCCCAATTGCCAGCTCTGCTAACCTACAATGATTTCAGGCCCAACATCAGATACAAAAGCAACTGCTTTCCATAGACTTCTTTAAGAGCTCTCACAATTGTGAGAGGTTTAAAACTTATAGTAAATAATCATAATGGTTCTGTTTTCCAAACTGATGTGGCTTACAGTGAGTCTTTTGCATTCAGAATATGTACTTGGTTATAAATATTTTTGTGTGAGCATGGCTTCCTTTTTGAAAAAATTATGATAGTCCCAAATGCAATAGTATTGATTTATTAAGCCTAAGTATGTCGTTTTATTTAACCTTGTTTTTGAGAAAGGGATTTGGAATATGCTCTTTTGCCCAATTCTCATAACTAGTGGGCTGGGAAATTAGGAGTCTGGTCCAAAATTAGAGAAAAACTAACAAACTAATTTGAATTTTGGTGCAATTACTAGAGCTCAAAACCCCCTGAGCTAACTAGCTGTTTTTTCAAAATATGTTTGAACATGACACTTAGAAAGTTCTATCTACTCATGGAAAAACACAGACATTAAAAATTTGAAAACAACTTCAGTTAATAAATTTTTATCATAATGTATGTGCATTGAAAATAGATAAATACTGCCATGACTGCTTACACCTCTTTAATACTTCTTAATATAAAGATTTTATGGTCTTTAAAATCAAGCATGTATCTTTTCATCTTTACATCTTCCCATAGTGGCACACAGGTAAGTCCTCATTAAACATCAATTGAACTAAGTAAAGAACACATTTCAGCTTCCTGTTTTTTACAAAAGAGAAAAGAGCAGCAGTGTGTGAGCAAACAACCACAACCAACTGCATCCTCTGATGCTTTTCTCACTATTGTATGGAAACTCCAGCAGGAAACCACAGCTATATCCTTTTTACTGCGATTGAAAATTCTTATGAATTACTGGCAAGCACAAAACAGCCCTATTAACATTATATAGATGATTGTGACAATTCCTACTCACCACACTCAGTCGCTTAACAAAATTTTTGCAGTTTCTAAAGGACAAATACCCAAGAAAAAATATTGATAATAATAGTTATACCTAAACTACTTGTGGGCAGTAAATTACATTAAAAAACAATAAAGGCCATTGAAATTTAATTCCTCCCTCAATGTAATTGATTTTTAAAAACCTGGTAAGTGTTAAAATTCCCCATTTGACTCAGACCTGTTAAAACTTCTAATTGACCCACAGAGGCATTACTCTCTACTCAAAAATAATGACAGTGCTAATTTCCGCCCCTTTGTATTCAAAATGGCCCAAGAATTAGACCTTTCTAGCTATGAAACATAGAAACCCCTTTGTCCATTCTCATGTATAATCCCATTCAGGATTTGTACCACACATGTTTTAAATTTGTAATATAAACCTCGAATGTGTTTTTATCAATGGAGGGACTTTCCATTGGAGATCTCTTAGTCATTCAGGAAGTACAAAGAAAAGATTATGGCAGAAGTCCAGGGCTTTCAAGGGCTTTAGCTTCAATGGGAATCACAGACATTTATACTCATTTAACACAGAAGTCAGAGGTACAAAACTCTGTAATCTTTCTTGTATGTTCATCTTTCTTGGTATATAAGTTCAACATAGGATACTTGTGTCATGAGTACATGTGTGAATGAATGAATGCATACATGCTTGGCAGTGATGAAGATAAAGGGGAGATAAGAAGGTTCTCTCTAAGTTAGGAAAAGGCTGAAGAGACCTAAAATTCAGAAAACAGGCCTAAGGTAGAAGGAATAAAATGCAGAACTGTTAAAAAATTTTTGACCATTAGAGCTAGAATTGATCTGAGGGATTTTTGGACTAACCCTCTCATGTCTAGAGAAGCTGAGGTGCCTGGGGCAATGACACAATTTCCTGTGCCACTTCCACAGGTTGTGACATTGTGTACCTCTTTCATGATTTTTGCCTAATGTGCTTCTTATCTAAACCGTCTCTTAATATTTTTCATTCAATTGACTGTAACTGGTGCACTAATTAAAAATGCTAGCCTCGTCTTAAGAAATGTTATCTGTAAAGTTAGGTTTGATGTGCCAGTAATATGTTTTTCATAAAGAATACTTTTAAGTAGACTTTTAAATTTATACTTATGTTATATTAAAATAAAATCATAACTATTCAAATAAAAAATAAATCTATATACTAAAATCATCTCACAGATCACTGATGAGAATCTCCTACATTTTTTAAAAGCAGTGAATTCTACTGTACCACCCCCTGGAACAAAGAGTTCAGATTGTGGAACAAGACAAAGAGGTAAAGACATTCCAGATTGATGACAAGAGTCCAGTAATAAGACTAGTGCCCTAGCCGGTTTGGCTCAGTGGATAAAGCGTTGACCTGGGGACTGAAGGGTCCTGGGTTTGATTCTGGTTAAGGGCACATGCCCAGGTTGTGGGCTTGGTCCCCAGTGGGAGGTGGGCAGGAGGCAACTGATCAATGATTCTCTCTCATCATTGATGTTCTCTCTCTCTCTCCCTCTCCCTTCCTCTCTGCAATCAATAAAAATGTATTAAAAAAAAATAAGACTGCCAAAACCGGTTTGGCTCAGTGGATACAGCGTCGGCCTGCGGACTGAAGGGTCCCGGGTTTGATTCCGGTCAAGGGCATGTACCTGGGTTGCGGGCACATCCCCAGTAGGAGATGTGCAGGAGGCAGCTGATCAATGTTTCTCTCTCATTGATGTTTCTGACTCTCTATCCCTCTCCCTTCCTCTCTGTAAAAAATCAATAAAATATATATATAAAAAAATAAGACTAGTGCTTGTTTTGTCATTTTTTTTTACTAGAATAAAAGCAATTGTTTATCGAGGAACTAAAAAAAATCAAGGCAGAAGAAGTCATGTTAAAAATAATTAGTGGATTTTCATTTTCAAAATGGACAGAGCTATGTATATTCATCCTCCTGCCAAGTTTATTCATCTCCTCCCATTAGTTTATTAGAAACCAGTTTTCAGAAGGAATGTGATTCAAATGGGCCTCCTGCACATAGATTACCTTTTATTTAGCCTTCAATTTGTAACTAGGACACTTAGCTGCAAGCTATAATAAGGAATTGCTCAACTTTCATAAGTAAATGAAAGTCTATGATTAAAACATCAATCCGGAAACACTAGTTCTATAAATAGTTTCTAAGTCCAAAGTCCACAGGCTAAACACAGACCCACGCCTGGTTTTTCTTGTTATATGTGTGTATGCACATGTGTAAGTGCACGTGACTTTGTGATATGTAGTTGGTTTTTCTTTTGAGAAAGAAATATTTTTTGCTGAACATATGTGTCATCTGGATATTTTTGATAAAAAGTTTTGTTTTCAATTGCACTGCCTATACAATGATTTATAAAGTTTTAACCTAAATTGTCCTTGAACTTACCCTGTTTGTTTAAAAAATGACATCACTGAATTAGAAACTTTTGCATTTGGTTTTTAAGCAACACCATATGAAATCCAAGATAGGATAAATCAGTCTATAAAATCCTGCCTATTCCTCATATTTTGACCTAGTGTTCATAGTATTAATTTAAAATTTTTATTTATTGATTTATTTTGAGAGCAAGCAAGAGTGAAAGCAAGAGAGAGAAAGAGAGAGAGAGAGAAACATCGATTTGTTGTTCCACTTATTTATGCATTCATTGGTTGATTCTTGTATGTG